TGACTGACTGACTGACTGACTGAATAAATAATGTAAATAAAAGAAAAAACAACCGAGAAAAAAAACAAGAAAAAGAAAATGCTACAGAAGACGTAAAAAAGCAAAAGGTAGGGGAAATGAAAGAAAGAAGATATTTAAATGAAAAAAAAAAAAAAAGATTTTAATCACGTTTTTACTCATCACGCCGAACCAGCCGTACTGAGCTTGAGGCAAGTGAAAATGATTACAAATAGTTATTTTTTCTGCAAATAAATAGCAATTTTGTAATTGTTTTTTAGGGATTAATTGATTCATTAAGATAGGAAATAAACTCGACTGATTTCCATATCGCAAAAGATAGTAATATTTAAATTTTCTTTCGAGAATTTTTGCGTGTAACGCCAGAAATCTGTCATATAGTTAGAAAAAAAATGCTTTTAACACCAAATAGAGTACGTGAGGTTTATATTCTATTGTGATTTTTCAGTGATATGTACATATATATATATATATACATTTTAAAAATGCGAAAGCGTAAGGTGAAGCAAGCGTGGTCCTTCGTATCGAACAGATTGCTTACAAACACTGCCTGGCTCAACTACATTGGTATGAATAAATAAATGTATTCAAAAAAAACATCTTAAAACAACAAATATCATCATTGAAAGGGCCCCGGGTTTCTAGTTTATTTAATATTAATTGACCAACAAGAATTGCCGCCAACAAGAATTGCCGCAAAGCTACTTTCATTTTTTAAAACCTGAAACTGAAACTACTAGTGCGGCTAGCTCAGGAGCTGCCTGTGATCGGGCCTGTGATGTGACTGTGTTCTTTTTACTTACTTCTTTTGACGTATTTACCGTAATCATCGTGTTTCTCTCTTGAATTGGTTAGTTATTGTACCTTTTGAAATGCATGAAGGTGGTATTTTCACTTTCTCTGATAAATTCTGGCAATAACTAGATTGACCACACAGGCCTACAGTTTATTCCTGGTAATGAGTTTCTGAGAAATCCAAGCCTTATGGACTTAAGGTCATGCTTCTGAYATGCTTACTAAAGATCAACAGACCATATTATGGCGTCTTGCTAGAATCAATAGAAGTGCAGCTAGCAGTTATGGCTAGTAGATATTATTATCTTATATAACTTAATTATTAATTTTCATTAGAGTATGGAATGTAGTCTGGTAAAACGGATACTGGTTTGACTTGTCGTGTCRGTCATTGATAATCGATTTAAATATTTATTTGGTTTAGGTTTCTAGCCTGTGTATCAAAATTCAATAAAATGCCATCCAATTTTCTCTTTAGCAATTCCATTTTTAATCCTAAAGACCCTAATCTCATTCCCAATCCATCAAATTCCTTTTTCCAATAACAAAATTACCAATCAACTCCCTAGTAAATTATCCTATATTTAAATAACRATTTCATTTCCTGAATTAGAGACCAAGCTGTCTGTGTACAACATCAAGCTACAGTACATAGATTTTCCCCCATGTGTCAGTCTCAAAACACCAGAATGTTATTACATTATAAGCTGCTGACAACTTAGGGGTTCRTCTTTAAAAATATCTCAAACCACCGAGTAATATTTCAGAATAAGGCATCTATCTTACAAAGTTCTTATTTACATTAATCATAATAACTTATCGATGGATTGCAAGCATTCCCAAGAGAGTTAAAAGACAAAAGCATGGCGGCCATTGTGGTGCCCTTAACAATGGATGCTAATTAGCTTGCAATCAAAGAATATGAAAGTGAAAGCAGTGAGCTTTGGCATCTGAATGTACTTGGTATGTAGCTGGGGTGGATGCAGACTGGTGGTGAGGGGGATGTATTGTCAACTCCCCAAACCTTCCCCCTTCCAAGGGTGGATCTAGCCAAAATTTTAGAGGGGGGGGGGGCTAATTGAGTTTAGGGGGACTAATTGAGTTTCTCCCCTCAACACAACAGAAAACAATAAAAAAAGCATCTAATTCTTCAGTTTTGTTTTGTTTTTTTGCTGAAGGGGGTCTTCAGCCCCCCTTTGCACCCCCCCCCCTTCCCCCTAGATCTGCCCTTGGTGCAA